AACAGCAGAAAAGCTTGCCTAGTTGGCTCTTTCGCAGATGCTGCTAGATAGTAAAGGACGATATTCCTTTTTTCTCCAGTATACTGATTGAAATTCTTCTTAAGATATTAGTTGTGTCATTATAGTTATACCAATAGGCAAATAAAAAGAAATATTGTTAATTTCTGTTTTTACCATTTTACCCAATAATAATGTTTTAGATTTACTTCAGTTGTTATATGGTTCTGTTTAAACTTGAATACCATATGGGCATAAATGTTTTTTCTAAGCTTATCCAATACTGCAGGTTCCAAAATATATATGGTATGCAGGGTGACACAGGACCCTGAGTGTGTGTTACGTTGATGATTATGACAAACTTTGCTCATAATGTTGGACATGCCAGCGCAGTCCTCTCTGGCAGTAGTACAAGCAGCATGTTTGAAGCTGATCATGGCTCTGAATGGGCGTGGCTATGTGTTTAGAAGCCCTGTCATTCCAAATCACTTTACCAATAGAGAGTGCATGCCCTCTGCTAAGACCTGCCCCCTATGAAAATGTGCCAAAAGTCAGAAACAAAAAAAAGATTTAAGAAGCAAACAAAAAAATATATTAGCAAAATCAGCAAATAGAAGAAAATGAAAGCAAAGACCGGAAAAATTAGTAATGCATTTATATCAAAATGAATAGTAATCTGTTCGAAAAATTAGATTTGATTTAACTCAAATAAATTGTAACATATTTTGGAGACATTAATGCTTAACATTTTGCTTTTGGATTTTATTTAGTTTGAAACTTTTGGCACAAAATTAACTCTGAAGATCAGTCACCGCTGCAAAATATATATATTGGAAACATTTTGGCTTGTTTCTCTGTACCGTCGTCTCTCTTCTGTCACCTCCTCAGTGAATAATTTAAAATTGTATGGTTTTATGGTCCCTTCAGAATCAAATATGGATGTCTGCTGTGATAAACAAAATTATGTGCATATACGTTAGACATACGCTGATATGCTGCATTTAAATGTTGGCAGTGGAGGGACGACAGCAACCCGGATGTTCCTCATACAGATTTACGATGCCAGCATGTTTGATAATAAACAACGCTATAATGGATACACGGAAATGCCAACACAAGGTGAGGGGGGGTGGCAGACTTTTTTTCCTTCAGTGGTCTGACATAATTTGGCCCTTTTGACATTAAAAATTAGCCAAATTCTCCTTTAAGCCATACATGTTGCTTTTCTCTGTCAGTCGTCTATCTGTATATTTTATAAATACCTCTTGGCGATTTTTCGTCAACTTTTAATCTTAGCGCAGTTTTTCTACAGAATTTCATTAAAAGATCTTTAACTTTCCTGGTAGTTAAAGCCAAATTGTAGCCACCATGCTTGTAATTCGTAAGCTTTCTTTATATGAGCACTTTGTTGTTTAGTCATTGTTGCAGATCTTCTCAGTGACAGTGTTTTGCCACACGGTGAGCCAAAAGCATCAACTTAAATTATGAGACCATGTTTCTTTTAAATACCATTGTTCCGTTGGTATAAAATTACAGTATATGAAAAGAGCATTTTGGTGGTTTTGGGTTTCACTGTCTTTTATATCTTGTCATTTAGTCATCTTGCTACTGCGGTCCTATTTATATGTCTATGATCATAGCAAGTGACGGTAGTATGTTGATCCTATACTTGCTGCCAGTCTTCTTAGAAAGTCTGCTCATAATTGTGTTTATGTGGAATAACCTCACCATGTTATTCAAGGCCCTCCATGGATGCTGAAGCGACTGCTACTAGATGATGGCTATTCATATAAATCTAAAGTAGTACAAACAGTTTATAGTAGTGTGGGTTCATTAGCTTTGTTCATACAAAATATTATCATATGATTCTGATATTGTGGTATATTTTGAAAGTAATGTAATATTGGATTGTATTTAGATTGCCCAACACTAAAGTGAAGGATTACAGTAAAGGTATGAAGGTTAGTTGAATGAGAGTGGTCATTCAGTGGGGTGGGACACTTGCTTACCATTTAAACAGTAACATTACACATGATAAAAACTTGCACATACTTTGCTTCCCACTGTTACAGCTGTTAAGTGTTGTTATAACAGAAATGTCTGTTTTGTATCTCTGACACTTGGTTCACACAGGTTCAGGTTGTAAAACGCTGTACTGCGGCTGTCCGCTGCTCCTGCTGTATGGGATGGGTTAAATTCAGAGGACAAATCTAATTTCATTTTTCATTTCAGTGTATGCCAGTACTTATGAATAAATTATAATAAATAATTGTTATATAATTATTAATAAATATAAATCTTCTAAATATAAAGAGCAAATCTTAAATTGGAGCTAGTATGCTGTTTTTGCTCATGTGCACCTCTCTTTCACAGCACCTCGGATTCCTGGAAAATACATCATGTAACTTCAGTGTTTTCAAGTAACTTCTAATAACACATACTGTAGAATGGCAGTCCTTAAAAATTAGTGCCATTGATCTTCGCTGAGAACGGAGAAATGTCTGGCTGTGCCCCTCTCTTGTCAGGCTTAGCGCTCCCCCAAAAGATGTTTAGCCATAGATGGCTTCTTAAGACTAGTGCATAAAATGAAAATGGTGATGCAGTTAATAGTTAATACATGTCAGTGTCAGTAGATTTTTTGAACAATAAATGTTTATTAAATGCCAAATTAAAGCACTGGGGCGAGTCACCTTCTGAAGCCTGAAGTAGTAATGAAAAAATCAGACTGGGTCGGATTTTATGGGAGTTTCGTGTCATTTCGCCTTTGCAATCTGAAATGCAAAAATGGTGTTATGCTGAGCAAGACATGAAGACAGTCGTAGATAGTTTGCCTCCATTCACTTGCATCACAATCATGAGATTCATCCATTGGGGGAAGGGGTCCGAAGCTCAGCTGACATTAGAAAGTGCCCTTTCGCACGTTGCATTCAATTACACATTTTCTCCAGAGAAGTCTCCAAATCCCCAAATCTTACCTAGTGAAGCTAGAATAACATACTAAGCCAGCAGCAGAAGTGTCCAGGGGGATTTTTATTTTCTGGAACTTATTTACCCACCTCTGGACATAATTAATTGATAATTAATTGAGTTGCTTGTCTGTAGGTGCCCACACTAGGTTGTTAGTGGTCAACAATCATGGAGAGAAATGATTTGTCAAATATGAGCTTTTTTGTTTTAAACAGTGGTTCTCAAACCCGTCCTCAGGGCCGCCCAGACAGTCCACATTTTTGCTCTATCCCTATGTGTTGGGAGTTGGGATAAAACAAAATTTTAGGCTGCTTGGGAACACCTGAGGACCACTGTTTTAAAGAGATGGAGGTTTTAAACTAATCCCTGCCTAACTGAGGAGGTGATCAGAAGTGAGTGGGGGATAATGTCTGAAACGTCATCATATTTCAACATTTCCAGCCTGAGTCCATTCAGTGCATATTTGCGCTCCAACAGTTGGAGTTCACTCTTCATTTATTATTATTTGTGTGAAAGACCACCTTGGAGAAGAGTACTTCAATCTGGCCCCTTCTCACACATTCAGAAGAAACGTGTGAGAGAAGTATATTTATCATTACTTTATGTGCTTTTGTGTGCATGAATGAATATGAAGTATCTTTTACTCACTTCTCTCGGTGGTAGTAGCCGTTTAGTTTGTAGCAGAGCTGGGTGATATGGCAAAAATGTAGTATCAGAATTCTGTTTGCACAATACATGTCACAATAAGTCACTGTGTCGAATATTTTTTTTTTTCCTGACGTGATGAATTGGAACAGACCAGGTTGTGCCATTAAAAAAAAAATGCTGTGACAGATTAAGAATGCGGTGGTTTGTATTCAGTATTTCTCACACTGCATTGCACAAAATACAATTAAACAAGGCTATTTATACTTATTTTGCAATCAAGCATGACAGTTTATCATGATGACGATAATTATTGTCATATTGCCAAGCCCTAGTTTGTAGCCTGCCATGATTAGCGCCTTGCTGTCAACATTTGGGTTATGTGTTTGTAAAGCTGCTTTGTGTTGTAGTGCTGTTAATAACTAAGTGGATATATTTATTCTGTATGTGATCTGTGGCGTGCCTTACTGGGCTTTTTGTTCACCGTTAATTTTAAGAGTGTGTGTCCTCATACTGACTACTGCCTGCGCTGCTGTGGCCGCAGTCTTTGTGATCAAAAGTCTAAATTCACTCTTCTGTTTTCATGTTGCTGTTTCCCCCCCCCAACAAAATTTCCAAAAAAATGTGTGTTGTATATCTGATGTGTTGTGGCAATGTATTGTATCGTATGGTGGGCAATATGATGTTTTAGCGTTATCCTGACAAATTACATAACAATGTGAGCATTCTGAGCATGTCATGAGTAGCATTAGTACAATATGATTATTATTATTATTATTATTATTATTAATAATAATAATAATAATAATAATAGCCACTGTTGTATCGTTTTTGTAACGCTTGTATCACAATGCGTGTCTGTCATGAAGTTGCTTCCAGCCCTTCTCAGGATGACAAGATTATCGGTGTCTGTGTAAATAAATAAATAAATAAATAAATAAATACATAAATACATACCACAGATTATGACAAGTCAGTGAGCCACAGCAAAAGTACATGTAACGGCCATGATAATGCACCGAAAAAACAAATGATAAACATCGGAAACAGTATTTTGTCGTTCTTAATTTTAGTGTAATGTTAGAATGTAATAGTGGTCATGGGGCCTTTTTTGACATTGGAGAGGACAGTTTCAATTTTTAAAGATGAAAACAGTGGATGTGATTTTTATTTATTTATTATTTTTTTTAAACACCTTGACGCCGTCATTTAGAAACCTTCTTGTCTGTTTTGCATGAATGTCACAAGCAGCCATGTGTTGTGTTGCTGCAGTTACACTATCCACCCAATTAGAAAAGTTACACAACAAAAACAGTACACAGTACAAGTACCTACCAGTCTTTCTTCTTTAAAACATGACTGTTGAATAACTCCTCTTCCTCTCTGTACAGCGGAACCCAGTCACAGGCTGAACCTCTTCTACCTCGCTAATGATGTCATTCAGAACTGCAAGAGGAAAAATGCTATCGCTTACCGCAGCACTTTTGCTGACGTCCTACCAGATGCTGCCCTTCTGGTCAGGTGAGCATCTTCCCTGATCTTGCTCTCTGTTTGTTTAAAGAGGTCATTGTTGCTGTTTGCTGTGTGTAATAAGACTGTACTTATTGCTGAAGTCAACAACATGCAAATGTGCCTCTAACCAGTAACTCAGTTTTATTCTATGTTGTGAGAAGCTTGACACATCACAGGCATTCTTTGGGTGTTTGGATGAATTAAAGCCTCCACATGATCCAACAAAAGGAAATAATGTTGTTCGAAATAATGCAAGCCAATTCTTAGCCGTGTCACATCAGGGTAAGAGTGATGGGGTAGTTAATTAAAAGAGTAATTCATTACTAATTATTTTTCGCAACCTGTAATGGAATTAATTACCGTACTACATCCTGGAAAAGTAATGTTCCTACTCAAGAATTCAGCTCCCATCTAACACTCAGCTCAGCTAGTCAAGGACTTCTAAAGACAGTAATGTGAAGAATCAGAGTCATTTAGGGTTAAAGCTTTGTACCACTCTGCCCCCAACACAGCAGGGTAATGTTTCATATTTGCAATGTGACTGAGGTATCATATTTTGTGCATCCCTACTGTGTGAGAGTGAATGAAGGAGAGACAGTGAGAGACAGTGTTCTTCACGATGTTCTTCAAGATGATTTTTGATCCTTGTTTGTGTCTGTGGGGCTTTATTTGGTTGTGTTTTTCCACCCTATGTTTGTATGTTGTAGGGATGCTAAAGTGCGCAAGTCAGTGGAGAGAATATTCAACATTTGGCAGGAGAGAAGTGTTTATCCAGATGAACTGATCACAGAGCTGAAGGCCACTCTACAAAAAAAAGAACAGCCACCACCACCTACTGGTAACTATAGGCAACAATTCACATCAGCAGAAACAACAAAACCTGTTCTAGCCCAGACTGACTGATAAAGCAATTCTTAGTGATTTTAGGTCACTGGACCAGTCAGAATGATTAGCAGGCAAATAATTTTGAAGGGCATTTTGTGTTAGTGTGTGATTCTTAAATGCGATTTAAAAGCTTAAAAGATTTAAAATGTGATTTAAGTTCAGTTGAGAGAATGTTTATTACTTTGGACAGGAGTGAGTGAAAAGCAATGTTTATTACTTAAGCAACATTGACATAGAAGTGTAGTTTGCTTAATTGATGTCATATGTACAGTACCAAATAATATAACATTATAAATATAAAATAATATAGGGCCAGCTATGGAATGGTGAGGAACCCTGCTCTTTCCAAATAAAAAAAAATAGATTTCTCACTGGTGTTTTTTTTTTTTCTCCCCTCTCCCCCTTCCTCTCACATCTAGTTAACCCCAAAACTGCCCTCAAGTCAAAGATTGTGGCAGAGTTTGCGGTAGGTATCTGTCATACCGCAGCACCAATATTGATATGACTTTTTGTCCCTTTTATATTATTTATCATTATTTAATATTGCTTGTCTTCTTTTAGCCACATGCCTTGATTGAGCGTTTGGGGGCTTTTAAGCGCTCACTGGAAGAGAGTGAGCTGAGAGAGAAGCAGCTGGCTGCTCTCAGAGTGGATGTCTGCAGCACAGAGGCCCTCAAGAGGCTTAAAGGTGATTTGAACTTTACTGCTTTGTGTAAGTTTCAGGGTAGCATTGTTTTCAGAGAAATCCACGCTGAATCACTATTCTTTTTCTTTTCTTTCTCTCTTCTTATGTGTCCCTCTGTAGATAAGGCAGGGGGGAATAAGTTTTCTAAGGACTTTGAGGAGGGCAGCATGAAGCTGCAGGAGTTTGTAAAGTTTCTGGAGGGGCAGATGCAAGCAGGACCCCCTCTACTTGAGGCTCTGGAGAATTCAGACGTCTTCTATGAAATGCAGTACAAAGAGGTCAAGATTGTCGCCAATGTAAGTCAGCATTTTTATGTGTAGTGTCGGTTATTTAAACAGAGTAACGTTGCAGTGCACTTTAAGTGTTCCTGTCTCCAAACAGGCCTACAAGACCTTCGCTAATCGGGTATCCAATCTGAAGCGTAAACTGGACGCCCTGAAGGCCACGCTGCCAGACATGGATGACTCACCCATTCCCTCGCCCTCTGAGGATGCCCCCTCACCCACAGGCTCCGAGTCACCCTTCCACGGCCTGGGCGCCAGAGCAGGCCAGAGCAGCGCAGACCGAGAGGGAGCAAGAGCTGGAGAGCAGAAGGACAACAGAGATGTGGAGGACATGGACCTATCTGAGGAGGAGGACACCACAAACACAGGCATTATTGGTGAGAAGACGCTGTGGAATCCATCTTCCTTGATTTTATGGTTTTACCTCGAGCTTTCATTGAGTCTTATCAAGTGTTGTATTTTACACTTTTACTGTCTTTAGTTGAAGAAAAAAAAGAAAAAACATCCACAGTGGCAGCTTTGAAGGTGACCAACTCAACAGCAGCCAAGTCTTCTCACATTATGGCCGCACCTGTTTTAGCCCCTCCCACAAAGGCGACGTCTGAGCCTGCAGCCAATCAGACACCACCGTCTTCTACTACACCTACCCCTACCACATCTGTTCCTGCAAGTCCCACCCCCCTGCAGGTGAATTTGGCAAATGTGGATCTAGGAAAGATCAGCTCCATCCTCAGCAGCATTACTAATGTGATGAAGAACACAGGTAAGTCACCTTCATCACTTACTACATGAAGTGTCCTTGAAAAGAAAAATAAATTCCCCAGATTTCTCACCAGTAAGATGCTGAAGGCACCCACTGTCTGATATACTTTTACACTTTTATAGATAATGCTGCCATATGGTGTCAAACCACATAAGTAATGTATTTGATACTACATAGCAACTATTACTTACATGGGAACTTTACGTTTGAGTGTCTGTGTTGTATCCTCTTTTGCATGGGCTTGCCCACCCACGTGTCTTTTCTTCCATTTTTTTTTTTTTTCCCCTGCGTGTTCCTCTTTCCACTGAAGGTGTAAGTCCTGTGTCCCGCCCCTCACCAGGAACACCCACTACACCATCTAGCCACACCCCTACATCAAAAGCTCCTCTTGTGGCACCTGGCGGAACTCCTGCATCCAATCCACTGGCCAGTATCCTGTCCAGAGTAGACATTTCCCCTGAGGGCATCCTCAGTGCCCTCACCAAGACACAGACAAACAGCCCACGGCTACAGGGTGCGATATACACACACAACAGATCAAAAGGATTTTTTATGTATTGATTGTTTTTACATATTCATAGTTGGTGTTCTTGTGTGATCATTGTAATGTCAATGACATTTTTCATCTGTTTATTTTTCTCTCTCTCTCTCTCTCCTCTCTCTCTCTCTCCTCTCTCTCTCTCTCTCAGGTTTGTCCTCTCTGCTCTCTTCTGCCCGTGCTGGCTCTCTCACCTCTTCAAGTCCCGCCCCCTCTTCCTCTACCCTTACATCTTCAACAATCACCACAGCAACAGTGACTATAGCCCCCACCACCCCAACCACCCCAAAGACTCCCAAACCTTCCAGCAACAATCTAAAGCGCGAGTCAGAACGTGAGCGAGGCTTAGAGTGGGAAAAGGTGAAAGAGAAAGAGAGGGAGAAGGAAAAGGAGAGGGAGAAAGACAGACGAGAGAGGGAGATGGAAAGGGAGGAAGCTGCAATGCCCAGCCTGGAATCAAAGATCAACAGCTTCCTGCAGGGAAACCCTGGGTTTAGCGCTCTTGGCCTTGGCCTGGACGATGGAGTCAGTAATAGCCCCCTGCTGGTTGGTGGAGACAATGCGGACGGCACTCCTGTTCGTGATGAAAGCGGCAGCACTCCAACCCAGGATGAGATCATGGACACCCCCTGTGTTCTTAGTGATCAGAAACCGGGCTGCTCTGGAGCTGTTTCACCTACAGCGTACCGTAGTGACCCCTGGGATGCAGTGATCACACCAAGAGAAGATGAGAGGAAGGACAGGGATTACCGCACCCCCTCATCCTCAGCATCCTCACGATCACAGGCCTTCAGCCCTAGCGGCAAAAACGCAGGTAGGAGTACTATCAAGCCCAAAGAACAGGATGGCATGAAGAGAAAAGCCGGGGTATCCACAGGTCCCACCTCTTCTGCGGATCTAGGTGTGAAGGCGAATAAGATGGAGGGATCAGGAGGGAAGAGTGTGGTCCTGCGCAGGCCAAGCGGCGGGTCTCAGAACGGAGGCAAGGAGAAGGAGGAGAAAGGGAAGAAAGGAGGAAAGAAGGAGGAAGACAGCGAACACTACCACCGCATTGAGACTGTTGTTACCACAACGGCCAGCAGCAGCACGCCCATAGAAGCACTGGGCTATAGCAACCGCATCCAGACTGTGGAGAGCATTCGTGTGATTGGCCGAGGTCCAAGGAGGGCAAGTGGAGCCGCAGCTAGAGCGGGTGGGGCGTGGTACGAAGAGGAGGAGTTTATGGAAGCCCCACTTCCACATCACCCTGGCGACCATACCCCTGAAGCCCCCAGTGAGATGGGACTGGTCCCCCCTCCTACACATCTGCTGTCACAGGGGCAGTACCCACCACCTCCTTACACTAGTGAGGACTCTACTCATCCTGTGCACACTCACACTATCCCCCAGCACCACCCACCTCCATCTCCTTTCTTCTCCACCCCTCCAGTTCCTCCCATCCCTCAGCCCCCACCCCCTTCAGTGGCCCCACCCACAGCAGCCCCACCCTTACCTCAGCCTCCTCCAGCCCCTTCAAGAGACTTACCCCTCTCCCCCACTTCTGCTGTGATGGTGGGCGGGGTCTTGGTGCCCATTGACCGTGTCCTGCCACACCCACCTGCCAACCTGCGCCCAGAGGGGGGTGGGGCTAGCAGTGCTGCACCTGCTAGGGGCAAATCCCTCCCCCTGCGTCCCGGCACACTCAAAGAGCAATTCGCCCCTCACCACGCGCCCCCCCTCCATCGCCCTGGTGCCCCAGGTGTACCCCCGCCCCTTTTGGGCAGAGGGCGAGAGGGGCCACAGTCACCCTCTTCCCCAACCACACCCACCACACCCTCTCCATCTGGAGACCCCCGACCGCTCCTGCCCTCTCCAAACTGCCTGCCTAACCCTGGCGCTCAACGGGCCCACCAGCCACCCTCCCCACTTGGCCTACTCCGCCCGCCCCTCCACACGCCCCACACCTCTCCCCTGTCCCAGAGGCCCTTGCCACGAGGGGGCCTACCTCTGCCCCTGCCCCTCCCACCTCCTTCCCTGTCCCGAGAGCCACTGCTACCTGGGGTCAAGCGCCCCGGACCTGCTTTCCGAAGTGGACCACTGCACCCCCCGAAGCGACCCTTCCTGCCCCCTCGTTATTAGGGTTAGTCAGAAAAAGGGTCAGCCAGCAGTGCCAATGCAATGCAGTTATGCTGTGATTTGATGTAGGAGGTGTTAGCACCAGGCTGTCTCTGGGCCATGATAAAAGATAAACTAGTCTAAACACACACCCTCATCGATGCCCCCCGACCCTCCAACCCTGCCAACCCACAGCCAGCAGCGTTCACTTATGTTTAGACAAAGAGAAGCCTTCCAAAGATGGAGAAGAGAATAGACATTGGAGAGAAAGAATGAAAGGAAGACGACAGCAAAAAGATAAACGCAATGAGAGAGAGAGGCAAAAGGTGGTTATTCACTTCAATTCCACTTTCTTTTGTGTGGGATGGATTGCATGAATGAAGGAGTGTGTGTGTGTGTGTGTGCATTTTTTCTCCGTTACTTAGAGTTGTAACTATAAATGTAAATAAGGACTTTAGCTCTTTTGTTCTTGTATCTATCACTGCTCTTTCCCACTGTTGTATGGCTTCTGCTTTCCTACAGCTCCGGATGGGGGGGAAAAAAAAAACACAACAAAAAAAAAAAAAGTGTTTCTGCTCTCTAAGCTCTGTCACTCTGTTTCTGTATACACATAACAGACCAGTCAAACTCTGCTTCAACTGAAAACTGATTTAAATCATAGACATAGATTAAGCATCAGCCATCCACTATCACATCACTCTGCCTCTTTCCAGATGTGATTGTTCTTTCACCTTTAAGGGGGTGGGGTTGTTGAGTGAAGGCTGGGGCACAGAAATAAGCTAGTAAGGGGGAGAAAAAAGAAAACAAACGGAGCAGAGCAGCGCTCAACCCTCAGAGTAGATTTCCTAGTGCTTTCTTCTTTCGAGTTTCTGTTGTTCAGTTTGAACCGAGCTCTCACGTGTATTGTTGCTAATAAAAGCCCTGCGCTGACACACAAGAACAATGGGGGCTAGCATTTCTTTACCATCATAATGATGGCATTTTTGGGTTTGGTGTGCTTTGGTTTATTTCAGGAGAAATGTGAATATAGAATGTGTACCTTAGTATTGTGTTCTTTAAAAAAAAAAAACTTGATTTCTGATCATGATCTTTTATTTTTATTTATTTCTTTTTGTTTTGTCACTTCAAATTTAATTATAAAATCATACAAGCAGCTCTGTTAAGGCCATGTTTGTTCAGTCACTAACTATCCTGGAAAACTGATTGGAGGGTGGTGCAAGAAGAGGCATTGATGCCTTTCCCCTGCTTTGCATTTCTGTCCCTTTATTTTTCTTTTTTACTCACTTTTATATAATCTGTCCCACATTTTTCTAAGGTCACCATTTTCATGAAGGTAGCCCTTTAGCTGGAAGTTGTCAGAAGCTAAAATGAGTCCAGAAACTCTTGTGTGTATCAACATTTCCAGTGACATTTTTCTCACGTCATCCCTTCTTGAGCTGTATTGGATAGGATTTTTGTGTTTAAACTTAATGAAGTTCATTAGATGATGCACCATCAGCATCCATGAGTTGTGTTCATATTGACAGGATGCCTTCAGCCACGCAGATGTTTATATAAGAAAGTTTGTTTTGACTTTGTGAATCCAGTGCAAGAAAGTATTTTTCAGACTGCAAACTAATACATGTCTGTTTTAAACCCTGTTATTGGTTCCAACAAAGTGAACTGGGGCAAAATGTCAACATTAACATAAACCTGTACAATGTAGTACTCTTGCATGTACAAGCAGTGAAAGTACTTAATGTATTTTTTCTTTTCTTTTAGTGCTGAAATGTTGAATCCTTTGAGGAATACGATATGGTGTCTTCTTTTTGTCATGTATGCATTCACATTCAGAGAGACGGTTCCTTACAAAACTCTAAAGTACTCAAACTCTGAAGTTTTGTTATTTATTTAGAAACACATCCACCGCTGTGCCGTCACAGGTATGCAGGTGTAAACATGAGTGCTGCACGTTAAAGTACAAAATACAGACGATTTCATGATGAGACAATTTAAAGTGGCCTAAATCACAGAAAAACAAAATTGCTTCAAGATCTTGTTAAATTATTTTATTTTTGGGTGATCCTTTTAATTGGAACTCATTCATTTAGCAGCACTACTTTGTGTCAAATATCATATAATATTCATGTAAAATTCTAATCTAATTGGCTTACAAATTGGATTACATTCATCTACGACTAATCCTGAACACTGTTCATCATATTATTTCTTTGTGTTTTTTTTTTTTGTTTGTTTGTTTTTTATTCTTATTATTTTAGTTTTGCAGTTCTTGTCCTTCTTGGCATCTTTTAATAGAAAAGCTTTACAACACAAACTCGGACATGGACAAACTAGTCCTACCCCAAAACACCTTCCACACAGTCTATGATTACACAATAACTGCTTTTTGATTTCCTAACCTCTTCTAAACACAAGAATATTTTCATACACATTTCACCATACACCAGTATGTTTCCTTTCCAGTGTGTATGGGGAGAAAAACATTGAACAAAAAATGTGTGTGTATATATAAATCATGCTGTGGTCCATCTGCTGATGTGTATTAATGATCAGGTCCTTCTTGAGAACCAAAACACCAACCGTTTTCAAACCTGAGAGCTCGCCTCCCCTTCTCATTTTAGTGTTATTCTTATTGCAACACACCTGATCTAACTATTCAGCGTTTCCCAAAAGCATCTTGGTGTTAAGATAATCATAATTTGTAGAGTGTGTGTTCAGTGTCATGCTCGCTGTACCATTTAAAGATCATTTTTTGTGCTGAGATGCTTTCAGGACACCCAGCCCAGGTGATTAACAAGCCCTCCTTGAAGTGAAGTGAGTCTGATAGCAGAGAAGGGGGGAAAAAAAAACACTAAACTGTGCAAGACGGGGAGCCTCAAGGACTAGAGAACCACTTGATGTAGAGCGCAGCAGGACTCACACCACCCCCTCTTTTACATTTTTACATAGGTCTTATTCCCCAGACATGGTGTGATCTGGCATTATGTGAGGTTTCCATTCAGGACTGTGACCAGTGACTGAACTTGATATGATCTGACTGGATATTTAAATCCTTGGCTGCAGAGTAAACATGTGATGTCAGTTCCTATATCACCCTCTGCTGAGGCATGTGGGTATGGCAGCCTATTCATGTCCTACATCTCCAAATAGAGAAGCCAAGTCATATGAAACAGTACTGCCTTTGTCCTATTGAATCCGTATTGAATGTGTCTAAAAACTGTCCTGCTCAATTTTCGGTTTCAAAACACCCAAATGCATGCCAGTAAAACCTTGCACATGTGGATTGGTTCACATTTTCAAATAGGCAGGATCCCATACAGTGCATTATTTGTCTGTAGAAGTCCCTCTCTGCTCTTCTGTCTCCTGACTGGGGCAGAGTTTAACTCATGACTTTGTTAGGTGAGGTCTGTATGTAATGGCAAGGCCACAGTTGGTTTTATTCATGAACATGGCTCACTCAGTATGTGCACACATTCTGTGTGTTAATTGATTTGATCTTAAGTGACATTATAAATGGCGAGTTTAACCACAGGCCGAATGTGTGCTATACCTGGACTGTGCTAATACTAAATTTCCCTATATGCTATTAGTTAGGTCTCATTGCTGATGCTCTTATCCTGATTAATACAGTAGAGACAGTAATTTTATGTTTTGGGCCTGTTAAACTAAAGAACGGTGAGGCCCTAATTTCACTCGTGTTAAACTGCCACTCCTGAGCTGCATAGAAAAGAATGCATTTGAATTGTTAGGAATTATTTCACTGGATAAAATGGTTGCAAAAATGTGACAATTAGAATAGATGTTAATGCGTGTACTGTGTTTAGGCAGCTGAATAACAAAAAAACGCCTGAGCATAAAAAGAACCAATGCTCATCTGCATGTCAGAGCCTTTTGTGGCCGATGTCCCAGACTCAGTCAGTGTAATTGGTTTTTGTTTTTTTTGTTTTTTGTTTTTTTTTTTCATTTTTATTTTTATTTTTATTTTTATTGGTGTAACACGGTGGCTTTTAACCCTGCCCCTGGAGTAGCCCATGCCCTACACATTAGTGCTTCTCCTGCTCCCAACACACTTGATCCAACAAATTACCTCATTAACAAGCCCTTTATGACTTGAACTAAATGTGTTGGAAGCAGGATAAACACTAAAATGGGCAGGGCAGGGCAGGGGTACTCCAGGACCAGGGAATATGTGATGTGACACTGTTCTCACTGCAATTTAGCCCCAGACTGGGTTGAATTCATGCCTTTTAAAAACAGATCTCCACCTTGCCTTTTTTAAAGTCGTTCAGAGGCCTAAACTGAGGAAAACATTTAATCTTAATGCAATTTTTCTTGTTAAATTTTTTCATCCTTTTTCCGGTTTTTGCAGTCGTTTTCATGCATGCAGCAGTCGATCCAGACCTTTTCTTAATCAGCGATTGTTTTTCTTGAGCGCCCCGCCCTCTCTTTCCGCTCTCGCCTTCTGATTGGCTCACTCTGAGACAGCTCTCCACCAATCAGGTGTTGTCTCCGTGCTTACTGTTTTCCTGTGTCATGGCGCCGCGCTGGTTGTGAGATTCGTATTTGTGGGATGAAATAAACTCGAAGGGCTCCGGTGAGAGTGAGTGAGTGAGGGAGTGGGTGAGTGTTTGTAGCGGTGTGATGGTGTCGGCTCTGCGGGCGCGGTGGCTCCTCCAGCCGGGGCCGCTCGGATCAGCGTGGCGGAGCTGCAGAGAGGTGCGCTGAAGCTCTGATCACACTCACATGGGTCGGGCTTTCTTTATGGACTGACTTTCTTTCGCCTAGAAAACTACTGGAAGACTGACTGTAGTCGTTGGTCTGCTTTGGTAGGACCTTATATGATTATGACACCTTGACCTGACCTTGATAGAAAACTTGAAGGGCTCAGACTGCAGGAGCACACACACACTGTGGACTGATACTGTAAATAGAAAGATGCTGGAAGACAGATTGATGCCTGGGAGAAGTGCCTGCTGATGAAGTGGGAAACTGTATGATGATGTACATGGGACGAACAGATGCATGAATAAAGAGAGAGGACACTGGTGCTGTACAAGGCACAATGACACATGGGGTGATCTTTCATTTTTGGTCTGATCTTTCTCCTAGTTGGAGCATTTTGGGGGTTGACATACTGTCCTAATGTAGTTTTGATTATAAATTATAATGCACATGTATTGATCTTACATCTAGGTAGGAAGCTGATGGAGGATACAGACTGTATGAATCTATAATGCACTTGATTATCTATTGTTTTTGGTCTGATCTCCTTTCTCCTAGATAGATTATTTGGGGGTTGACACACTTCACATGGGATGCCTTAACTAACTGAAAGCTGCTGAGGTGCTACATGATAGTGCATCCCATGATTTTCTTCATTGTACTAGAACAGTGCTTATGCTGCGACACCTGTCTAGACCTTTCTGTTTGGCCTATTCTCTCTTTACTTAGCTAAGTAGAAAGTGGTTTCTCAAAATACGGTAATTTAACAGGGCAGGATACTCAGTGGGATGGTTCGCTGAAAAATTAACACATATTTGTGCTTACCCCAGACATAATTGATCAGCCATAATAATAATCGAGGAAAGGAAGATTGCTCGTTTAGGTTTGTGTTGAAGCTACAAGACTAATACAATAAAAGTCTGTCACTAACAAATGAATTAGGTGACCTAGACTTCTATTATTTGTCAGCTAAGTTAGCCTCATAGCTTCTCATAGGGCACAACTAAAGATCTAAACTTCTTTTCTTCTGTGAACCATTCATTTAAGCTGTGAACACAGATTCGGTAAGAGGTCGGAATACTCCTGAGCTGCATAGAAAAGAATGCATTTGAATTGTTAGGAATCATTTCACTGGATAAAATATGGTTGCAAAAATGTGAATACAATTAGAACAGATGTAAATGTCTGTATTGTGTTTAGTCAGCTGAATAACACAAATAACGAATCCCGAGCATTGTTTGTTGTGTTGGAATGTTGTCTTCTTGTAGGCCGGAATGATCCAAACTCATACTTTTGTGAAACACCCCTCCCAATCATTCACTTTTACTGTTTTACAGTTTGACAGAACAGACATTTGTGTGTTCTGTACCTGTAATTGAATAGTTGCCTTTTATCCATATCAGTTTTCAGATTTTCATCTAAACTGCTGGGAAACACTTCTTTTAATTCATGTATTTTTCCTCTTATATTGACACTGGGGTCAGTAGCTATTTTCTAGTGGACTTATCCTTTTTTGCAAAGTTCTACATAATCTCAGGTTATTTTATAAACTACAGTTTATTTGGGCCAACTGATTGAGTGGTAGATGGTTTTTCCTGCTTTCTGTTTTCTTAAATCAACACGTCTTAAATCATACATAATGTAAAACATTTTGATTTTGCAGATTGGTATATAAATAGCAGGCCATTCATAGCTCAGTGCGTTGATTTTGTGTTTGTGTGTATGTTGCAGCTGCATCCCTCTGCTGGTCAGTTGGAGCGTCTGCGGCTCTTTGAGACTCTGAGGGTGAGGAGATCAGAACAGACAAAGGCAGCACCTGGACGAGACCTAAGCGTCAGACTGGCCGATGGGAAAACGGTGAAAGCGCTGTCAGGGGTCACAACCCCACTTCAGATCGCTCAGAACATACGGTGAGTGTATAACTCAAGAATCCAGACACGTTCATAAACCTTCATTAGTCCTTGTTCAAGGTGAGAGGAATTGATTTGCAGGGACAGTGGCAGAACCTACCAAAGCGAAGTTGTTTTTCTGGCAGGTTTTAACATCCCTACTGGTTTATATGACACATTTCTTCTGTATGTTTGCAGTGCCTCTGTTCAGTCGTCCTTGTAAATTTCTCCTACCTGTATCGTAACTCCACTGTTCGATCTGATCCAGAAGAGGATGGGTTTTCCTGTTTTGTCTTGGTTCCTCCCAGTGTTTCTTCTTTGTGTTCTCAGCTTGTTTATTAGGGATCTGAACCTGCATTTCTGGAAAGCTGCTTTGGGACAGCATCTGTTGTAGACAGAACCGTCTAACATGCAACAGCTTGTCTCTGTTTGGAAAATGAGTGACAACACCACTCTCTAATGTCTATTCCTTACATTGGTGGAAGACAGGCAGGCTTCTATAGCTTCAAAGAACAGTAACAGATTTATGGCAGGACCCTACAGGCAGAAATAACAATTTTGGTTGGATCAGTCATTTTTAAGGTTTTTGGTTAAATTGCATTTATAATGTCTTTTTATTAATTGTGCTCATAAAAGTGCCAGAAACTCATTAGAAATGTATTGATTTCAGTGTGTTTGGTCTGTTCACTCACATCCAACACTGCCACACTAGGCCACATCTATATTGTCGTACGTTACAGCAAAGTTTCCTGTTTCCTGTAGAAATGAATGTCTCTTTCTTTTTAACTAATGACAACATTCATGTTTGCTGAAATCTACATTCAGAACCAAAATCTCAGCTTCTAAAATACCCTGCATTCATGAAATTTTACATGTTCATTGCCAACCCTGTTCTGAAAGGCAGTACATAAGGATTTCCTATTATATTGGTCATAGTTAGATTTTGTACTACAATTGACCTTGGAAATTTTTTTTTATTAAAACAGTAAATAGTTTGTTCTTAACTAAACATTAAAACAAGAATTCAGTGAACTGTTCTGTGAAAAACTGTTCTTTTCTCTGGAGTGTGTCGCCACATTGAAATAAACATTTTCATTCTAACATCATCCAAGAAATATGCAGTGCGCATGTATGCATATTTAAGTGTATAATGATATTTATTTACATATTTAAATGTATTTTTTGCCTTCAAAAAGTATCCAAAAGTATTTTAGGAATGTCAGTAATCCATTGGCTAAGATAGATTGGGATATCATCTGTTTTAAAACACTACATATGCTCACCTGTAGTGTCTGGTCTTAAATAGTGCCTTTGTCATTTCCAAAGTCACTTTACAGAAGTAACCAACAAAACAGCTACTGGATAATTGCGATTCAGTAAAGTAAACTCCATCTCAAAGTGAGTGTTTTGATCTTTTGGCAGCATTTTGAGTTTTGTCACAGGTCCACGTGTCAGTCACCTGTACTCTGTTTGTATGTTACAGGGTTAAAGGTGCAGTAGTGGGGAGAGTGAATGGTGAGCTGTGGGAGTTAGCTCGCCCCCTGGAGGCAGACTGTGAACTGCAGCTGCTAGGCTTTGACTCCTTAGAGGGCAGACAGGTACGACATTTGTATGAGTGTGTGTTTGTGTGTGAGGGATGATGAAGTTCGACATGTTGTCGCTTTTAAACATATAAAGTGTTTGTGTGTGCTATTTTGCATGTGTTGTGTAGGTGGTGTGGCAGACAGGAGCGTGCGTGTTGGGGGGTGTGATGGAGACACACTATGGTGCTCAGGTGTGTCGAGAGGGCGTGTCTGACACAGGACTCTATGCTGACTACCGACTGGACAACAGGTGCCGACTTGCATACACACATGCAGCTCCGAGCCCCAAACCCAACATCCTCCCTCACTACTCCACCTTCACCCTACTAATAATGTTTCTCTCAAATGGAACTGTAAAAACTGAACAAATTTTTTACATTGGTTATTTAATATTTTAATATCTAATCATAGTTTGATTTGTTCTGTTACTTGTTTTAATTATTTTAAATGATTTATTTGAATGACCTGATTTTACTTTTACTATTATTTATCAGTGAGATTGAAGTTCATATTCTTTCTCTCTCTCTGTCTCTCAGTGCTCTGTCTCTTGAAGAGGTGCAGGAGAGGTGTAGGGAGATGGCAGGGCTGAAGCTCCCCATCACCAAGCTAGAGCTGAATCTACAGGAACTCAGAGAACTTTTCCAGGTCAGAGTCCTTGACCTCTGTTTTTGAGGATATATGGTGTCCCTATGATGTAGATTGTGGTAGTTATATTGATGTGTGTAGAATAATGTGGTTTTGTTACTGGTTCTTGTTGGCTTTTAGGATAAATGAGGTTGTATTGAAATGCTGGTGTGTTGTAGCACAACATAGTATTGTATGATAGGAAGATTTGTGATGTTGTAGAATAATCAAGGTGTTTTGTATTGTACGATAATGTAGTGTATGGTAAATAATGAGGAGTTGCACAATAATCTACTGGTGTTGTGTTATAACAGTAGGTGTTGTAGAAAGATTGTGTTGTGTTGTAGAATACCTGCGGCAGAGTAATGATGTGGGGGTGTTGTGTTGTAGGGTAACTTTGTGGATTTGTAGAACAACGATGTGATCTAGAGTAATGCATAGGGCAGTACTGTGGTGTTGTAAGATAATTTTAGAGTGTAGGATGATGTGTTATGAGAAAGCACTATAAGTGTGGCAGCACTACCCGCTAACATTGGTGACCCAAATGTTTATTGGTATCAGTAAGCATATCTCCATTAATGCACATTAAGGCACCCCCTGTTTATCTAGGTGACAGCAGTACAGACTAAACTGGTAACTCTGAACATGGAGTGCAATCGTGGTTAAATAACTTCTGGTTAGCCCTGTTTTCAGTGCTTCAATACTTAAATTCTTTAAAACTGTATATTCTTTAAAAATATTCTTTAAATAATATTTAAAATATAAAGTTGTATCAACCAATGTTATGGTAATTTTAGCCCCATAAATGTATAATTTAATTGATCACAAAATTACATATTGGTTGGGCCCCTGTAAAGATTATTTTTTCCTGGTTTTGTTTTTTTCTGATTTATTTATTTTTTAAAATTAAGACTTTTTTCCCCCGAATATTTTTGTCAAAGTAAATGTTTAAAAAAGCTACACTAACGACAGTGATATTGCATTTTGTGTGTTTTTTGTTGAAATTGCAGAAAATATATTCCACAAGAATAAAAACGTCTATAAAAACGGGTATAAATTAAACTAATTGTAAATTAAACTAATCAATAAATAAATTCTTTTATAACTCACACACACTCATTCACTTCCTCACTCACGTTTTTTTCTCAGTTTTCATTGTTCACAGGGCTCTAGATAATATTGTAATGTTATACTGTAGGATGTTCTGAGGCTGCAATTGGCTGAGGAGCAGATGCAGGGACCCACAGTCAGCGTCTACAGGTGTGTATTCAAGTGTATAGTATATTCCAAAGCTCACTCACTCTTCCACTCACATGCTCTCACTCTCTCAAACTCTTACTCATTTACACAATCTCTCTCTCTCTCTCTCTCTCTCTCTCTCTCTCTCTCTGTCTGTCTGTCTGTCTGTCTGTCTGTCTCTCTCTCTCTCTCAGGTGTGGGCAGAGTGTAGGAGTGTGTTCAGGTCCACTTCTTCCTCATACAGGCTTCCTCCGCTCCTTTAAGATGCTACAGGTGAGCTTCATTGGAACCCATCTCCAGCTCGTCCTCCTTCACCTCTGTCTGTTTTCTTTATTTATTCATTCATTTATTTTTTAAACTTAAGGTGCATTGTTTTTGTCTCTTTTTCTGTCCGTAGGTTTCTCCTGTGACACTGTCGGGCAGCACTGGGCTGTCAGGCTTGCTGAGGATGATGGGTGTTTCATTTCCAGGAGAGAAAGAGAGAGAGCAGTGGGTGCAGGAGCAGGAGGAGGCCAGGAAGAGGGACCACAGACGCATCGGCAAGGTGAGCCTTTGATCACATCAGATGATTTGCTTTTGCCCTGATAAACAGAGTTGTGTGTGGCTGTGTTCATGATGTCATAAATCTCCTTCATCCAGGACCAAGAGCTGTTCTTCTTTAATGACGTCAGTCCGGGCAGCTGCTTCTTCCTACCGAAAGGAGCTCACATTTACAACACTCTCACTGACTTCATAAAGGTACCAGCCACAGGCTGCTGATCCTTCTGCTGAGTTTTTAGTACAGTACAACTCCAAGGTATGGACACACCTGATTTAATGCATGTTTTTCATCATCTTAAAGAGGCCCTCTTATAAAGGCTTATGTTTAGATTTTATGATATTTGTACAGTATAGTGTTCATACGTGTGTGTGAATTTTTCTATTTCTATCTTTTTTTTAAAAAATCACTAATTTGTTTTTAATTTAGAACTTCAATGAAATTTAGAGTTAAAAAATAATACAGTTATTATACCGTCCTTATCAAGGTCTGTCTCATGAATGCATTTGAGCCTGTCAACCAGTGTTGTGAGGCACTTTCTTGGTTCCACAAAAACGTTTAGTGACAAGAAATTTTAACTTTGTTGAATAGACTGCTTTCAGTCTATCAGCACTTAGTGAGCAGCGTTAGCTTTAGTGTATACTTTGCTTACTTTAAAGTCTGCCTGGAATCAGAATGGATCTTTTACCTTATTAGTTTTACATTGAGCATATTAAGCACAATTCATCTTGTCTTTTAAAAGGCAATATTCTTGTTTTCCTGTAATCTTTCATCATAAAGACAGGGGTGGATTTAATGTTAACCAGTAATTTATATTTGACTTTAAGTACATCAGTGTACAAAAGGAAAATGTGTGTTATTTCCAGTTTATGTTAACTATAAATGGATCTTACACGAATTTAATTCAAATTCTATTTTCAGAGGTATACTTGATTTATTTGGGGGTTTTTTTTGTTTTTGTAATAAAACCGATCCAGTGCCTTTGCTTGTTTTTTTTTCCATTTTTTTTTGTTTATCAAAAGACGGTTTGAGATTTGTGGGTTGTGGCTGTGATAAGAAAAAGAAACAATGATTCCAGGCAGTCTAGGCAATGAAATTGGGGTCCCCAATCCCAGTCCTGGCACCACCATGCTTGGCAAATTTTTGTGTTTTCCCTGTTCTGCACACCTGACCCAGACCACAAGGAGCTTGTTAATTAGATAATAGAGTTAAATCGGGTGTGCTAGATGAGACAAAGGTCATAAATGTGTGCAGTGAGGGGTCACCAGGAATGGGATTGGGAGACCCTGCTGTAGGTGGGTCTAAATATCTCTGTGTATTAGAAGATAAATACTTGAATGAAATGTGGTACCTCCATGTGTATTCTTTTATAGTGCTGACACCTTCACTGTTATTTTAAAATGGTAAGAAAAAAAAGTTTGAGTAGGGATCCCCAAATGTTTTTCTGTTATTGGTCTTTGAAAGGCAATCAAATAGACACCATCTGACACCAAATTAAAGAGAGACCTCATGCCTGCGAACCAAAGTCAGTTCTTAGCTGGAAAAGTAAAGTCCCTTTTTTCCCTTTCCATCAGAGTGAGTACAGGAGGCGGGGCTTCAGCGAGGTTGTCACCCCAACACTGTACAGCACGTCACTATGGGAACGCTCCGGTCACTGGGAGCACTACAGTGAGAACATGTTCACTGTGACTTGCGAGCCTCACACCTTCGCCCTTAAGCCCATGAACTGCCCCGCCCACTGGTGAGAAGGACACACAGCCCTTTTGAATCCTCCGGTTCTACAGCATATTATAGCAGAAGCATTTATCATAGTTACATGAATGGTTAGAATATAAAACCTGCTATAGATTTGTGTTTTTAGGATTTAAACATTAACGTTTTTCACATTTTCAAGTGGCAAGTGCAAGTACCCCTATACTTGTCCTTCCAACCCATTCATCATTGGTCAGTGTCTGACCACAGGACTGATGTTGATCAGATATCATTTGAGTGTTGGACCATTCTCAACACAACAGTGACACTGGTAGTATGTGTACGTGCATAATGCTGGTACAAGTGTATCAAGTACAGCAGTGCTGCTGTTGTCAGAAACTGACCACTGATGACTGAACTGACCACTAAACAGAGGTTGGGGTAACACATTGTTCATCAGCTACATTCTCTAACTGTACACCAGCAATGCTGACTGACAAGACAGGAGTTTATGATAAGAAGGTTTGTTTTGTAGTTTTATATTATACTTAAAGTTATACAAATTTCCTTTTGTCTTGTGGGAACATGTTAGGAGCAGCTGAGTACCATATTGAAATAATGTGGCGTTTGTTGATACAACATACTATATTTCTGTTTTAAGTTTAAAGAAATTGAATTATTTTGTTTGTCTCAATTTTCTCCTCTCATCGTATGTAACCATGTTAATGGTCATTCTGTGCGTTTCTGGGCCTGTGATTGGTTTTGATTGTCTGATGTCATCCCCTGCAGTGTGATGTATGAACAGCGGGCACGGTCGTGGCGGGAGCTGCCCCTTCGCTGGGCTGATTTTGGGGCACTGCACCGCAACGAACACTCAGGGGCGCTAGGGGGTCTCACCAGGGTCCGCCGCTTCTGCCAAGATGATGCACATATCTTCTGCACACCTGATCAGGTATGGAAAACACACACTCGTGATCTTTCATAGCCTGCAAGAGTGTTGAGATGCCTGCTCCATTTTCGTGTCTGTGAACAGCAGTTACTATGCAGATTGAATTACAGCTTCATTGAATTACAGCCGGCGTAAGGAGGTTTGGACAGCAGTGCCCTATGAATGCTGCGTTTTTGACTTTTTTCTGTAATAAGAAGTTTGCCTCATTCACTTAAACTAATCACTGCAAAAAGCTGCTGCTTTCAGATAAACTCTTCTTTCAATGTTCTTTGTGGTCAATTTTCTAACAGTATATCCATTCTGAAATGATTTATTTGTGGTTTATGTGATGTGCGTCTAATAATGTGTTTATGAAACTATGAAATGGTTATAATTAAGTGCATAGTATCTTTCAAAAATAAAATTGCAGCGCAAGGAAAAGCTTGCACATAGAAAGTGCAGTGGAAAAATGGCAAAAAAGTACTTGAAAGCTGAAGTGACGTTTTACAAGTCAATTAGAGGCTTAAAAAGTACTAAAGTAGCTTTTTTTAAATCATTTTTGGATGCCAGTATGATTATGTTGAAACAGGGGTGTGTTCTGCCTCCTGCATGTGTGAGTTTATTCTCTAGAAGCCACTCATTGCACAAGCTGTAATTAATGAATGGTCTATTTTTTAGGCAAAAGCCTTAATCATTGGAGCCATGACACTTAGACCTTAATGACAGAACTAATGTATGATTATCTTTCTCTCTCTCTGCAGTTGGAGGAGGAGATCACAGCATGTTTAGACTTTGTAAGGAGTGTCTATCAGGTGTTTGGTTTCACCTTCCACTGCCTGCTCTCCACTCGTCCTTCCTCCTATCTGGGCGAGGCTGCTCTCTGGGACAGTGCAGAGCAGGTAAACACTCAAACTCCCGCTGTGTTTTAGTGTAATACTCTAGTTGATATATACTCATCATCCACTTCATTAGAAACCCACAGTCCACTTTATGAGCCCCACCTACCTTATATATCAACTATATAGGTGAACAGTTACAGACTGTCATCCTGTATTATTTGTGTGGTGGATCATTCTCAACACAGCACTGACACTGTTTTAGTAGTGCTGTGGTAGTGTGTGTGTGTGGTGCTGGTTTGAGTGTTTAGTGGAGTTGCTGGGGACTTTGCACGTCATTGTCATTGCTAGATTGAGAGTGGTCGTCCACCAAAAACATCCCCCCAAGAGCAGCTCTGTGGTCAGAAGCTGTCCGCTGATGAAGAGCCACACCCAGTTTCACACCAGTCTTAGTTTGCTGTTGTGTGTGAGCAGTATGTGCTGGTCACACTGTGCCTGTTTGGCAGCTAGATGACTAATTACTGCCTGCATATTTTTGCACTTAGTATTGATATATTAATTGATATAATTGATATATTAATCTCACACTTAAGAGTTTATTTACACTAAAGTTTTACAAAGTCATTTTAGTTTTTCTCCTTTTCTCCTCACTCTCTCTGATTCTCTCTCTCGCTGAGCAGCAGTTGGAGAGGAGTCTGCAGCAGTTCGGAGAGCGCTGGGAGCTGAATCCTGGTGATGGAGCTTTTTACGGCCCAAAGGTGAGAAATGTGACATGTTTTCTCTCAGTTTGTCTTCTTCCCATCCTTGAATTGACTCTGTTCCTACTTCTCCCCTCTCTGGAGAGGCTGCAGTGGGCCTGTAGGGGTGAAAGTCTGAATGGAAACACTTGGTTTTTGTGTGTCCATGTACTCAGCTTTTAGCAGGGACCAAATGTCCCGAGGATGATGGAAAACATGCAAGTTTTGATGTACCCATTGTGACAGCAGAAAGTTACTCTCCCCTCCCCCCAGAAAAGTGCAGTTGTGTATTAGAAACACTGAAAGAGGATAAAGCTGATGTTTTGGTTGTTGAGGTTCAGGTTAGAGTTGGTGTAGAACAGCAACAGCATTTACATTCATACAGAAGAGCATGAAACACCCACAAGTACAGGAATACAATTTTGTGTGTGTGTGTACATAGCCTTGAGAAGAAGATTCGTGATCACACCGACACTAATCTCTTCCCACCTGCCAGACTCTGAGCCCAACTATGACAGTAAATCTTGAAGGAGCAGGTCATCCAAAACCCAATTTACAACTCCCTACATTCTCCAGTTTTATACAAGGATACTAGAGCAAACCATAAAGCAAGTCATCTCTTACAGATTTTTTTATGTAGATGATGAGCTATTATTCAGTAAATCTTGAAGGAGCACTTGATCCAAAACCCAATTTACAACTTATGATATTCTCTATAGTTTTGTACAAGGCTAATAGGGTAAACCATAAACAAGTCATATCATACAGAATTTTTAAGCTGATGATGAGCTATTGTTACACAGAATGAATGAATGTCTTGTCTTAATAAATACTGTTTGCTGATCTTGCCCTGTCCTTGTCCTTGTGTATCTGCGTAGATTGATATCCAAATCCGTGATGCAATTGGCCGACAGCACCAGTGTGCCACTATCCAGCTGGACTTCCAGCTGCCAATCAGATTCAACCTGCAGTATGTAGGGTAAGTGTACATACGCTGAAACACTGTGCTTGTGTTCACATGCACTGAGACATTGCCTGTGCATTACCAATTTTTTTCTGTTTGTCTCTCAGGCCAGATGGGGGAATGTACAGACCTGTGATGGTACACAGAGCAGTCCTGGGATCCCTAGAGAGAATGATCGCCATCTTAGCTGAGAACTTTGGTGGGAAATGGTGAGAGATGTGATCTGTGTGTAGACACATGTATGTGTGTACGTGTCTTTCCTGATTACGATCTCTTTTATTTAAAGCATCCTACCTTGTAGCTCCATTTTGCTGGTGTACAGTTAGAGGCAGAGCTCTTCTGTTCATACTCAGTTTATGTTAGCCATCATTTGGCTGTGACAGTGATGTGTGTAAAAACTGCAGCAACAGTGCTGTATCTCCCACACACCACCAAACCATGTCATTGTCACTGCTGTGTTGAGAATGATCCACTATGCACATAATATCTGAAAACAGCAGTCCTGTGATCAGAAACTGACCAACAATGAATGGGTGGAGTTCAGCTGACAAATTGGGCATAATATGGGCTTCAGTCTGTAATGATGGATGGATGGAACTTTATTGATACTGAAGGGAAATTGCAGTGTTTCAGTTGCAAGACATATAATTGCACGTAAACTTACATATACTATGCAAAAAATAGAAATAAAAATAGACATGCTTTAGGCAGAAATAAAAAATAGACATAAGTTAAAGTATAAGAGAGTAGAAATAAAATGATCTCTATTTGCATATTTACATAGCATATGTACACCCCTGTGGTGGATCTATAAGGTAGGTGGCCCTCATAAAGTGATCAGTGAGTGAAAATATGAAGTAGTTGTTTCCAAAAAAGTGAACAGTGGGTACATTTCAGCTTTCTGAGGTTTTTTTTTCCCCCCTCTCTATTTTAGGCCACTGTGGCTGTCCCCTGCGCAGGTCATGGTGCTTCCTGTAGGGGGAGACAGTGAGCAGTATGGACGAGAGGTGTGTGGAAATACCTTGCTGTGTGAAACTGCCATCTTGCCACACAGGGCACTCGCATTAATTTTCCTTTTCCCTTGTGATCAATTAAGGTGGTTCATAGACTGAAGGAGGCAGGCTTCATGGCTGACATTGATGATGACCATGGTGCCACTTTAAACAGGAAGGTTCGCTCAGCACAGCTCGCCCAGTACAATTATATATTTGGTAAGAGGCTGTTCAGTACAAATGTAATATTTTGTTTCTTTTCTATTTGTCGTTATGCGGTACGTTAGCCCCTAAGACTTGAGCCTAAAAGTGCCTTTCAGTTTTTGTCTTTAAGTTGGTGACATATTGCGCTGTCATCACAGCGATAACATAACACAAGTGAACTGTGTCCTCTGATCCTGCACAAACTTAATCACGTGTAGAAAAATGACCTCTGACCATTGACCTGTATCCTTGGTGATCTAGAGGGCAGTCAATCCAGATCTGCCCAATCTGCAGATGCAGTGTAGATTATCTTGTTTAATGTGGAATTTGAAGCTCAAACAGTTGGAAAGTTAGCCAAAGTGATGTGGCATGAGCATGTCGATCGCTCTTACAGGATTAAAAGCTCAGCTGCAGTTTTAGCTCAATATGTGTGGATGAATGTGTACTTTGGCTAGACACAAGTGTTTTGCATGAATAAATCTTGTCCCTCTGTTTCTTTTCTCTCTCATTGTCTCGTTCTCTCTTTCAGTGGTGGGAGAGAAGGAGCGGGGGAGTGGCACGGTCAGCGTACGGACGAGAGGGGGAAAGCAGCTTGGTCAGAGGTCGCTGGAGGACGTGATGACCTCACTGATGGAACTCCGAGAGAGCCGCAGTAATCGAGATGAGTTTTGAGCAGCCCACTCGCTCAGGAACCTGGGCGCACTCAGCCATAACAAACCAGCCGAGCCCCAAAACATCTGAAACGTGTACACAGTGTCGCGTATGAACTTTGTTGAATCTTCTCCTCTCTCGCACACGCATACAATCCACCCACCTACGTATAAACAGTCTCTTCGACAGTTTAATGCCTGAACTCTCTGTAAACCAAACAGGCTCATTGTGTTTCTGCTCTCTGCCAGAGAGAACCGAACTGAACCGGACTGACCCGAACAGATCTGTGGAAAAAAGGACAGAAGAGCGTCCAGCAAAGTGCTCGACTTTGGTGTGTTTATAATAAAATAACTACATTTGTAAGTAGCGCCTCATGTACTCTGTTTGGAGATGGTCCCTGAAGTAGGGAAAGGCTGCTGGAGTCCAGCACTGGATGGTGTTACACTGCAGAAAAATGAAATCTTAACAAGCTGGAAAATCTTGAAAAATAACAATTGATCTTTTTTATGTACAGTTTAACAGACTACACTGAATTTATATCTATGATATGAATCAACTAGCTTTTAACTTTTGTCTACAGTTATCTTAAGACAAATAAAAAAGGTCTTAAAATGGAATAAAAACCTTTTTGGAGAGAACTGAAATGTTTTGAAGCCCTCCACTATGAAAAAGACATTTAGATAAGATAAGATAATCCTTTTAGTCCCACTGCGGAGAAATTCTCAGTGTTACAGCAGCAAAGGGATAGCAAGGCACTCAAGAAAAGGAAGTAACAAGAAGACAAATTACCAAAAAGCAAGTAATTAATGTTGTTAATTATTTAACAAAGGTTTTACAGTTTGTTACTTGTTACTATATAGACAATATATAATGCTTAAAGTAAAAAATAGATAAAATATAAACTCTATCAGTCACAAAAAATTAACAATAAAAAGAATTAGAAATAAATAAAAGCTAAGATATTTACACTGTAAGGAGTATTGCACATGAGGTACTGGTTTATATTACACATGGGATGGTGAGGAGTTAACAATGTAAACATTGTAATAGAAAAGCAAAAAATCTTTACGCTATGGAGATATTTTAAAAATATCACACGTGGAGTATTGATTATATTGCACACAGGAAATGGTGATGAATTCACAATTGATGTGCTGTAGGTGTGTGAGGTCTAATGAGGGTGAGGGGGTTGAGGGTGGGGTGTTCTTCTGGGAGCAGTGCTGGTTGTACAGTCTAACAGCAGCTGGAAGGAAGGGCCTGCGATAGCGCTCCTTCACACACTTGGGGTTAAGCAGCCTGTCACTGAAAGAACTGCCCAGTGCCGCCAGAGTCATATGCATGGGGTGGGAGCTGTTCTCCAGCATGGATGCTAGTCTGGCTAACATCCTCCTGTCTCCCACCACCTGCACTGGGTCTAGGGGGCTTCCCAGGACAGAGCTGGCCCTCTTATTGAGTCTGTCAAGCCTCTTCCTTTCAGCAGTTGAGATGCTGCTGCCCCAGCAGACCACTCCATAAAAGATGGCTGATGCCACAACAGTGTCGAAGAAGGTCCTCAGGGAGTGCCCCTCTCAGACCTCAGTCTCCTAAGCAGGTAGAGTCAGCTTTGGCCTGTCCTATAAAGTGTGCTGGTGTCCAATCCAGTCTATTGTTGAGGTGAAAACCCAGTTACTTATAAGAGTCCACTCTCTCACTGTCCCTTCCCTGGATGTTCAGTGGTGGAGGGAGGTGACCTGTGTCTGTGAAAATCCCCCTACCATCTCTTTGGTTTTCCCCGCATTGATCAGGAGATGGTTCTTCAGACACCAGGCCACAAAGTCCTGGATCCATTCTTTGTACTCTCTGTCGTCCTCATCCGTAATGAGTCAGATGATTGCTGACTCATCAGAGAACTTCTGTAGATGGCAGTTGGGTGAGCTGTACATGAAGTCTGCAGTGTACAGGGTGAAGAGGAATGGTGCCAGGACCATTCCTTGCGGAACCCCTGTGCTGCTGACCACCATGTCCTGTGCCCTTACATACTGTGGTCGGTTGGTGAGATAGTCCAGAATCCAGTTTGATAGGTGGTGATCCAACCCTGTGTTCTCCAGCTTGTCCCTTAGGAGCCTGTATGATACAGTCACTGGAGAAATCAAAGAACATGATTCTCACAGGGCTCCCCGGCTTCTCCAGGTGAGAAAGAGCTCTATGTAGCAGGTAGATGACTGCGTCATCCACTCCAATGCCAGGTTGATAGGCAAACTGGAGTGGGCCCATAGATGAGCTCACCAGAGGGCGAAGATGCACAAGGACCAGCCTCTCTAGTGTCTTCATCAGGTGTGACATTGGTGCCACCGGCTTGTAGCTGCTGAGGTCCTTCGGTCGCTGCATCTTTGGCACTGGTACCACACAAGATGTTTTCCACAATTGCTTCAGGCTCATGTTAAACGTTTTGCAACTATCCCACACAGCTGATCTGCTCTAAGGAGCCATCCTGACCCGCAGCTTTCCTCACTTTGATTTCAAGACAGCTTTACATGTCTTTATTTTAAGAATTCAATTGCACTGATGGCTACTTTTATGATCTTATTAATATTCCAAAACATTGCATTCTTAAAATAAGTTGTCTTGAAATTGCTTTTCATAGTGGAGAACTTTGAGCTGATTAATCATACAAAAAAGCATACAAATTTGCACTAGTCTGTTTTTTTAAATGTGTTTTTAAGGTGTTTCATCTCTTTGGAGGTAATAAAGCAGATTATCATATGTGGCTTTTCATGCCTCATTTTGAGAAGTAATTTTAGGAAAGTAATTCATTTTAAACATTACAATGTGGATTTTAAAGACATTTTTGTTTATTTAAAAGTAAAGTTTCCTGAATGTTGAGCTTGAAGCTGTTCAGACAGTCTTGCTTCAAGAAATTTTGTACCAAATAAGGTTTTGGGAACATGCTTAAAACAGGATTCATAGGCTATTTTTTTCAAATTTTATCAGATCAAATTAGCGTAAATTTAAATTAAACCAGTAAAGTTAAACTAATAAAAACAGATGTTGAGTTTTTTGCAGTGTAGCCCTTTCTTCACCCTTATACCAGATGACCACACTCCTTTTATAGAAAAACTTCTCATTGGCTATTTCAGTGTTTTTGTTTGCAGCACCATGTACCCAGGCGTTGTTATATAAAGAGGAGAGTCATGGGTATGAGAATAGAATAGACCATATCTTTAGGAGAACAGAGACGGAGGGAGAGAGTGTGGGTGGGTGGGAGAGAGGGAGAGAGTGTGGGTGGGAGGGAGGGAGGGAGGGAGGATAGAACAGGGAATGAAAGAGAGGTGGGGATTTTTACTAAAATCGGAAGAAAGGATAGGGGGTGTGTTAATGAAAACAGGAAAAATGGAGGCTGTGGGTCAGTGACAGGAGTCACCGCTGGGAGTTTTACTGCTCTAATTGGGAGAAAGCAGCGGAACGGAAAAGATATGAGTCACTCTGAGTGACCAAAAAGGGACAGGGTCAGGGCAGACACGCACACACAAACGTGTCCCAGACAGGGTCGGAGCTTAGCAGACCATTCTCAAATAGACTTAAAAAGGCTTGGTGAGACGCTGGTATGTGTGTGCGTGTACATGTGAGTGTGAGTGCCTGCAGAGTGTCGTGGGGTTTCAGCCACCAGCCGGCTGAAAACAAGAATCTGAAGCAGAGAATGAGAGAGAGGACTGATGGAGAGACGGAAAAGTGAGACGGGTTCAAAGACATGGCTGTTCTGCTCGAGGAGTCAGACACAGAGGGGGAATTCACTGTTCGTGCGTGCGTATGTGTGTGTGTGTGTGTGTGGGTATACACACTTCTCCGGCTGACGTAACTTCTCTTGCTACAACAACATTCTGGACATTCTGGTTTCAGTTGGTCTGAAGCAGAACTGACCCATTGCCCCCTGAACAGAAGTACAGACAAGGTTCAGACTTCAAGATGTGCTGCTGCTACCGTTTTTAACTAGATAAGGTATCTTCACCCATTTTTATAGAAAATATATATATATATATATATATATATATATATATAATATATGGACCCTCACAGAGCAGGTACTATTTGGGTGGTGGATCATTCTCAGCCCTACAGTAACACTGACGTGGTGCTAGAGTGTTAGTGTGTGTTGCACTGGTCTGAGTGGATCAGACACAGCAGTTCTGCTGGAGTTTTTAAACACCTCAATGTCACTGCTGGACTGAGAAAAGCCCACCAAACAAAAATATCCAGCCAACAACATCCTCGGGGCAGCGTCCTGTGACCACTGATGAAGGACTAGAGGATGACCAACACAAACTGTACAGCAGCAGATGAGCTGTCGTCTCTGACTTACATCTACAAGGTGGACTGACAAGGTAGGAGTGTCTAATAGAGTGGACAGTGAGTGGACACAGTGTTTAAAAACTCCAGCAGCCCTGCTGTGTCTGATCCACTCGTACCAGCACAACACACACTAACACACCACCACCACGTCAGTGTTACTGCAGTGCTGAGAATGATCCACCACCCAAATAGTACTTGCTCTGTGAGGGTCCATGGGGGTCCTGACCACTGAAGAACAGGGTAAAAGGGGGTTAACAAAGTATGCAGAGAAACAGATGGACTACAGTCTGTAATTGTAGAACTACAAAGTGCACCTATATAGTAAGTGGAGCTGATAAAATGGACAATGAGCGTAGAAGCAAGGAGGTGGTCATAATGTTATGCCTGATCAGTATATATATATGTGTATATGTATGTGTATGTACGTATGTATGTGTATATGTGTGTGTATTTCATTTTTACAGAACTGCTTTCCAACCTCTCCTTATTCTCACAGAATTGAGAAGTTTTATTCCAAAATGCCATATTTTCCATAACAGCTGATATGTAATGGAGAGCAAATTTTTATAATCATAGCATTAATATTTATTGCATATGTAAAGCCCATTCCCAACAATGTACATCATGGAAAAAAAGAAAATTCATAAAAGTGGTCTGTAATGCATTTAGGAAGAAAACTAACTAACTGTGCCTTTAAGGTTGATATGTATGTACATATGTCTGTTCTGATTGGATACCCTTTATTGAACTTTATTCGAAAAGCAATCCAGGCTGAAATGTGGTACAGACTGGGGGGGGGACTTAAGCCTCTTCTTTTGAAAAGCTGTAGTGATACATTTGCTTCCCGACAGTCAGGAACAGCACGTTTAATCATTTACCCCACATCTTCCACTCTAATAACTTTGCTATGGATTATCTGCAGTAACAGCACTCCTTATCACTTTAGCATGAACGGGTGGGCTAAATTGCTGTAGGCTGAATTGAGGAGGAGTTTGATATCACAAACAAGACAAATTCAAAACATTGTATGTGCAGATTTGT